CATCATCATCATCACCATCATCATCATCATCATCATCACCATCATCATCATCACTATCACCATCATCATCATCACCACCATCACTATCATCATCATCACCATCGCCATCTTCACCATCATCATCACCATCATCATCATCATCATCATCACCATCACCATCATCATCATCATCATTGACAACAACAACCCTGGTTTACATTTCACTCTGTGCTTTTCAAAGAAGACAAATTTTGCTAAAATCAAGGCCCCCACCAAAAAAAGAAAAATTACTCATGTTGGAGGGGCTGTGGGAAAACACATTAATGGAATGCTGTTAGACCTATGAATTAGTCTGGACATTCTGGAAAACAATTCAAACCTATGTCCCAAAAGTTAGTAAATTGACCTACGGATATCACTACAAGGCCTATGCCTCAAAGAGATCAATAAAAGAAGAAAAGAACCTATATGTACAAAAATATTCACAGCAGCTCTTTTTCTAGTAGCTGAAAAGTAGAAACTAAGAGGGTGTCCATCAACTGCAGAATGGTTGAACAAATTATGATATGTGAATATAATAGGGTACTACTGTGCTTTAAGAAATGACACAAAAAAAAGAATAGTTTCAGAGAAATCTAGGAAGACATATGAATTGATGCAGAGTAAAGTAAGCAGAACCAGGGGCAGCTAGGTGGTGCAGTGGATAGAGCACCAGCCTTGGAGTCATGAGGACTTGAGTTCAAATCTGACCTCAGACACTTGACACTTACTAGCTGTGTGACCATGGGCAAGTCACTTAACTCCATTGCCTGGCCAAAAAAAAAAAAATTAAGCAGAACCAGCAAAACTATGTGTATGATAACAACATGAAGAAAATGAACAACTATGAAAAACCTAAGATCTCTGACCTTAGCGATCAGTGACTAACTATGATTCCAGGAGGTTGGTGATGATTTATGATGCTGCCCACCTCTTTACAGAGGGGTAATGGACTCAAGATGCAAAATATAGTGTGTATTTCTGGATATGGTTAATGTGGGAATTTGTTTTGTTTGGCTATGCATATTTGTCATAAGGGTTTTGTTTCTCTATTTTTTTAATGTGAATGTGTTGGTGAGAGAGAAAATAAATGCTAGTTAACTAAAAACATAATAAATAGATAGATGATAAATGAATGGATGAATGAAAAAAATCCATAAGCATTTCTTGAACACCTGCAATGCACCAGGTATTGGCTAGGTGCTGGAGACACAAAACCAAAAATCCTCCCCTAAAGGACAGATTCCTCCTACTTTATTGGCATTCCCACATTAACCATATCCAAAAATACACCCTATATTCTGCATCTTGAGTCCATTACCCCTCTGTAAAGAGGTGGGCAGCATCGTGTATCATCACCGACCCCCTGGAATCATAGTTAGTCACTGATCACTAAGGTCAGAGATCTTTGCCTTCAAAGGGTTTACAAAAAGGGGTATGAAGATGGGTGAATGAAGTGTTAAATAAGATTTCCAGGGGGACAGGCAGATTTTTAATCCAAGTATGAGAACAAACTAGTGAAAGATGTATGTAGCTAGTTAGTGGTTTCTCTACAAATGATGGTACTAAATATAAATGAATCTTATTTATTCACCAAAGCAAAAGATCTCTCCTTGTAAACCCTTTGGTGGAAAGGGTTAAAATCTATGTGTACTCAATAATAATAATAATAAAGCTGTATGCCTTTACATAGAACTTATAACTTAGACCTTTCATTAATTCTCCCTGCTAATCCCCTAAAGGATGGATTCCTCCTACTTTATTGGCATCTCCAGCTTTATACAATAATGTCTTGGTAAATTTGTAAAGTTAAGTTGAATTCTATTTCCCCACTGGTTTCTATTAAGAAATATATGTGTTGCTATGAGAAGAGGAAGGACGTAAAAGAGACTGGGTTAAAAATCTTGAAAGATGCTCTCAAGGAAGAGGCAAATCCATGAGGTAGGAGAGGTTCAGTATCAGCCATGCTTCTGAAGCACCTTCTATCTTTCCCTTCTCTTTCTTTTCCTTCACTCTTCCTGGCCTAGGAACCCTAACTAACCATTTGTGAATCTGGGGCCAGTGACACAAAGTGTGTCCTCACAAATGATGCTGGGGAGACCACAGGGGCAAGGGGATGGGACAGGGTTTCTCTGCCAGTGTGCTATCTGGTAGCTTCCTAATTTAACTAATTATTCTTATTAAGTGCTAAGCTCATTTTTTTTTTTGGTGAGGCAATTGGGGTTGAGTGACTTGCCCAGGGTCACACAGCTATTAAGTGTCAAGTGTCTGAGGCCGGATTTGAACTCAGGTCCTCCTGACTCCAAGGCCAGAGCTCTATCCATTGCACCACCTAGCTGCCCCTCATTTGTTTTTAAACTGCTGGAAAGGACTAGTGGCAGCCTCCAAATTTGAGGGGTGGGTTCTAAACCTCACTGCTGGTGAAAAACTGGTTGAACTTGGAGTCAGAAGACCACAGTTCAAATTCTGGCTTATTATCTGTGTGACTTTGGGTAAGTCACACGATAATATTTAAGCCTTGAGGATTAACTCTTCATGTTGTTGTTCAGTCCTTATCAGTCATATCTGACTTTTCATGACCCCATTTGGGGTTTTCATGGTAAAGATACTGGAGTGGTTTGCCATTTCCTTCTCTAGCTCTTTTTAAAGATGAGGAAACTGAGGCAAAGAGGGTTAAGTGACTTGCCCAGGGTCACACAGCTAGTAAGTGTCTGAGGCCAGATTTAAACTCATGTCTACCAGACCCTAGACCCAGCACTCTATCCACTGCACCACCTAGCTGCCCTAACCCTAGATGTAATAGGGAGTCATTGGAGTTTACTGAGTAGGGTAGTGACAAGGCCAGCTTTGCATTTTGGGAAAATCACTTTTCAGTTGTGTGGAGGAGGATGGACTGGAAAGGGCGAAGGCTCGAGGCAATAAGAGAGCAATCAGAGACTATTACTATAGTCCAGGGGAGAGGTAATAAGGGCCTGATCTAAGGTAGTGATTATATGAGTAGAGGAAATAGATGTGAGAGGTGTGAAGAAGGGAAAAGATTCGGCAGCTAACTGGATCTGTGGACATGGGGATAGGATGAGATGCTGAGGAGGACACTTATGTTGTGAGAGCCTAGGTGACTCAAAAGGTAGTGGTGCCCTGGATAATAATAAGGAAGTCTGGAAGAGAGGTGGGTTTGGAGGGAGAGATAATGCATCTGGGTCCCAATTTATCCATGCCTACCCTTCTTGTGTGACTCCCTCTGCCCCTTACAAAATAAAAAAAGGGTAGGAGGGATGTTACTTACCCATTACTGCCTCAATTGCAGAGCCCACTCTTTCTGGGGCACCTGCCAGGGTCACAAAGTGATGTAGGGGTAGCACTGATGTAGGGGATTCTATCACCTGTGAAGTTGCTGGGGGAGCAGTTAATTTAGGATTTAACTGTCCTAAGCCACCCATACCTGGCTCAGAAGAGGGGGGACCTTCTATTGCAGTAGGAGTGGAAGAGGGAAGACTGTTGGAGGTTAAAGGAGGGGCAGTAGTGTTGGAGATAAGCCCTTCTATGGCAGAGAGAGTGGGATGCAGCCTGTCTTCTGGCTGGTTCATCACACACCTCCTGGGTATGTGAATCAGGCCATAGATCCCTAGGAAAACACTATTACCCCAACATTAAAGATCATGACACTAGTTAGCAATTGCTGAGCTGCCAAATCCATAAAACAGGTTTCCATTAAAAAGAGATGGTAATAAAAAGTTGTTACAAGAGGGTCCCATAACTCACTTCTGGTTCCACATCCACCAAACAAACTTTGTTTTGGGCCATAACAGACTGAATCGCCTCCAGGCTGGTACCATAGAGATTTTCTTTGTACTCTCCATGCTCCAGGAATCTAAAACATCAAAGGGGAAAGACATTTACTTCCTGGGATCTCTGACACTGTCAAAGAAAACTAAGGAAGTCCATCCAAAATTGACCTCTCTTCCACTCCTCCCTTGGTTCCCTTTCAAGAAATACCTTCAATTTGCATGAAATGTGGGAGTGCAGAACATAACACATACACATACACACACACACATGGAGTCATATCTATTAGGTAGACCTACTTGTTGTGGTGCAAATCAGCCTCAAATGCTTGTTTAGAAACAAAATTATATTCAACTCCCTCCCTTTCATGACTCTTCCGGCTCCTGGTTGTATCTAAAACACAAAATGAAAGATCATGGAGTGAGAGTTTTAAGGAGCCCAGTCCTCTGATCTTGTCTAGAACTTGGAGCAACCCACACCATCAACATGAATATAAATGCATACAAATAAACATTATCAAGGGAACCAATTATTTTAAAATAAGGATGGGATTTTTCCTATCCAAGACCACAAACCCCTGAAATCTATCCATGAACCCCTTAGAATTAAGAACCTAGAACTAGATAGCTTCCAGCAAACTAGCTCTAAAGAAAATTACTGTAAAAGTAAGGATTCTTTCCCATTGACTTTCATTAGTGATGCCAGATATATTATTTTTCTGGCTCAAGAAACTTTATTCCTAGGTATAATCAAATCACACAACAAAAGAATACAATGCATGATCTAAAGGAGAAACAGAATAATGGCTGGAATATAGCCTTCTGGATCTAATTGGAAGCTCCATCTTCCTGGCTACTTAGCCATGGCCTTCTCCAATCCTGAGTGCCATATTGAAATAAACTGGGGCAGCCACTTAAGTGGGAATACACACAATCTTTAC